GGGAATGTGCACAAGCAGTTCGAAGGATTTTCGTCGTTTCAAAAATTACAATTTTTGAAATGACGGAAATCTTTCAAATTCCGTCTGCACTTTCTCTTCTTTTAAAAAACCCGCTAATGTACATATATGCATATGCAGACTCTACTGATACTAGCGATAGGGATCTAGGGATCTAGAGTCTAGAGGATCACTAACTGCTACCAACCTTTCCACCCTTGGATCTCATAGATAGGAGGTTTATTATATTGTACAAAACAAAACAAAACCTTCACATCGTTATCTTAATCATAAACTTTCCCTAAGTAAAATTTTAGGAGGTTTTATATTTATTCGATAAATTAATTTTTGGTGAAGTATAACGAAACTGTAGTGTATTATTGTGCATTACATTTGAAGAATGCGAATTCGTTGATTGTAAACAAAAACGAAGCGGCAAATTCAACTGCAATTAAATATGACATTGATAACAAACAATATTACTAATTTGAATAAATATGAAAGTTCCTTTTACTTCTTTTGTTGGATCAGTGCTGTTTTGTATTCTGCTTATAATGTGTTTTTAACCAGTGCCTGTAAGAATTTGAATTACTTATTTTTCTATGCAATATCAATCTTTCATTTTTCAATGTCACAAATGATTTTTAGATTTTAATAACTACCACGATTTGTACAATGATTTCGCACCAGGCTGGGCGTGGATCGGTAGGAAAAAAGATGTTTCTGATCAAGAATGGGGAATATTGATACCATTATTAATTAAATTAATACCATGGATATTTTGCCATCATCTTATTAGTTATACCATTAAAGCTGGACCAAATAGAATGGTGTGATACTTCAATATCATTTTATGTTTTATTATTTGTTTTATATTTACTAACTAATAAGGATTGTATATTTTTACAGTTATTATGTGGCTGGTATATTTTTACATCTGTTTCATTTTTATGGTTTCACATTGGAGAATTAGGCGCATTGTGTGTATTGATTCAACCAAGCATACTGTATATTTTAACATACAAACGCAACAAATCTACAGTATGGTTGATAAACGTATTATTCTTATTGATAATACACTTCCTTAAAATACCGGGTGGTAGTTTTCAAAGTATATTAAAACTCAATGATGAAAAGCATTACATTTTAACTCTTACAATGTGTTGGATTCAACTAAGAAGCATTAGTTTCGCTATAGATAACATACAAACGTGCTCAGAAAACAGATGTAATAATATATCGCGTTTATGGAAAAACTTTTTATGGGGATTAGCATATTGCTTATATTTGCCTACATTATGTTTAGGACCATTGATTTTATATCACGAATTCATTGATTCTGTATGTATCATTTTATCCTTGCATTACAATTATATTTCCATTGACTTATTACAAGTTGATAATACATAAATTTTCACAGATAAAAGGGCCGTTTCAGACCTGGAAATTAGCAGATCTAAAACATTTTGCTTTAAATATAATTAGATATATTTTTTGGATATTTTTTGCCAATTTTTCCTTACATTTCTTCTATTTTAATGCAATGCAGTATCATGTTAAGGTAAAACTACATTTTTAAATCTAATTTCATTGGAATTAGATTTATCTAATTAAAATCACATTTTTTTTTTTGTGTACCAGATTGTTGAATTCTTGAATCCATGGGCTCTATATGGATTAGGATATTGTATGGGACAATTTTTTTTAATTAAATATGTTGTGATATATGGACTGAACCATACTTTATGTATGATAGATCATATAAAAGCACCCTCTCAGCCTAAATGTGTAGCAAGAATTCATTTGTATTCCGATATGTGGAAGTATTTTGATAAAGGTTTATATAAATTTCTCATAAGGTAGAGTATATGAGAAAAATTATGTGTTAATATAGAATAAAAATTTCAATTACTTCTAATGCATTAAAAAGTATTTAAAGGAAAAAGGACGTATTAATATTTTTCAGATATATTTACACACCATTATTAAAGTCAAATTTCAATAGAGTATTTGCCTCATTTTTGTGCTTTGCATTTGTTTTTGCTTGGCATGGAATGCAAAGAAATATTTTTATTTGGGCATTCCTTAATTTTATAGGGTTAAATATTGAAAGTTTAGGAAAGTCAGCTGGGAGAAGTAAATATTATTCCAACATGCAAACAAAGTATATGTCGCCAGTAAATGCCAGAAGATTCAATTGTATATTAGCGAGTCCTTTGCTAGCAATGTCGGTAATATCTAATTTTTACTTTTTTGCTGGTGAAGAAATTGGACATGCTTATGTTTACAGAATATTACATGGTATTACCTAGTTCTAATACTTTATTTCAATGTCTATAATTTACAGAAATTTCGGATTACCGATTAGGGATTCTTGTACATTTTCTATTACAGATATGTGGCATGCTACGCTTGTTTTACTTCTTTTTCTTTATTGTTGCTGTCAAGTGTCGACAGATATAAAAAACTGGGAATTGAAAGAATATTAGGAGACTCGGAATGCCAAAGGTAACGGAAAAAGATAACTCGAAGAGTGTTAGCAGACGGGAATAAACATTTTTCTTAGTTACTTTATTAAAGAATTCTCAAGTATTTTATTGTTTTAAGTACAAAATGGGTATAAAAATACAATATGTAACTAAAGTTATTCTTCGCGTTAATATCGGTACTATTATGTAATGTTTATTACAAATAATAAAATGTTTAGTACAAAGTATATGTATGAATATTTTTTATATAATTATTGTATTGTAAGCAACCAGTTTTAAAATACACTTAAGGCACATATAGTTTATAATGAACAAATGTTCATGAATATAATTTCTGAATTACTATACTATGTTTTCTACAGCAGGTGAAAAATTGACTTGTTTTTAATTACTATATACACACACATGAGAATACAACAAATGTTTACATTTTTTTTTTCATACGAGTTACGAGTATTAAAAACATTGTGTATGTTTAAAACTGATGCTTATCAATGTAGAATTTTAATTGTGTGCTAAAATATTATCAAATGCGTAGTTTTCATTCCTTTTTAGCTGCCGTATTCGATAATCCAATTTTAATATTGCTGAAAGCTTTTAATTCTAATTATGTATTATTATATTATTTATTTTTGTATTACTTAAATTTCTAAAAGTGGGCTATATTTTAAATGACTTTTAGAATATTAGGAATTTGAAGGAATACTTAGGAATGTTGATTTTAATTCAATTTTATAGCATTGTATATGCAGAATCCGACAGTAGCAAAGACATACTTTTGATCATTATTTACAGCAGGTGATTTAACGAAAGCTTAATTTTTCTTTTTTAAAAAGAATTTTTGAGTATCTACACCAAATCACAAGTTTATAATATGTTGTACGATATTCAGAAAGTACTTCGTTAATTTTCGTGTTAATATCGAAACGTTAATTTAATTCTACATTACTTAAAGAAAATTAAACTTCTCTCTTACATAGAAAAAATGCAGCTTTCAAAGAAGCAAATCAAAATGAATAGATTTATATCTAGAAAAATAACATTTTTAGTTGATAGTTACTTATCATATACAACTTTTTAGATTTTGTTTAATTTTTTAAAGCTTAAACAGTAAAAAAATATGAATTCCTTAAATTAGGAAAAGAGGCACTATTTAATCCTATTCTGAACTAGACATTGTATTTAAAATATTTCATTACGAGTTATCCTACTAATGATTATATCATTACAAATCTCTGTTCATTGTAACTTAACAAAGTGATTCTATAAACGATTATCAACGTAAAATTTTCAGACTTTGTATTTCCATAATTTTTACATACTGTTAGTATATTTTAACAAAGTATTAAAAAGTATTATTTGAATAATATTTTGAAATAGATTCAGAATTCTACATTATGTCTTGTACAAAATTAGTAATAACTGTTATACCTACGAGCTATTTATATTCATCTCTATCGTTGTATTATCAGCTAATTATTATATTTTCAAAAGAGACACTGAGAATGTAATGTCAAAATAAATCTATCGAGTTCTGTGGAAGACATTTTTCAGATATACTTCAACAAAATTATTGTAACTATTGTAAATTATACAACTATATGTGGTTAAAGTGTTCCAAATTAACATAAGAACATAACGTATTGAACTTGGTTATTTACATTTTTTTAAAGTGCAGTTCATTTAGCACTAAAGAATGTATATTTTATGTGCGTATAGATATATGTGCTACAAATAGTAGCATAATATAAGAAAATTTTCAAAACAACTTATTATCAATATTCGTTCTTATTAGGCAAATTCAAAATTTATACTACCAACGTTTGGCACAGAAATAAGTGTTACAACTTTTAAGTAACTGTATCTTGTATTAATACCTTTAAGTAAATTGGATTTCGTTATTATTTTACTTACTTAATTTGTTAATATGTACATACATGATTATTATAGCAAGTTCAACAAGACTGTCCTTTTCTAAGTTTAACACTTGGAATGCCTAATACGCGATGATTCAATTTTCAAAATAATAAGATCCATACTTGACAATTTGAAAAACAATTTTACTTCGCAAGAAACAAAATAAATGCATTTTCTGCTCGCTTATCGAAACCTTACTGTATATCAAACTTACGACAATACTGTGCACTCCCTACGATCAAAATTATGAAAAAATACTTTATTAGATTCGATTGGTTTTTTTTTATACAGTGGTCTATTCACGTCCAAAATTTGTTTAGATAGTAGAAAGTATTAAATCTACATTTCTCTTTGCAATATTTACACATAAAAAAATCAAATCATTGCTTTCAAATTTTACACACTATTAGCACATTGTTTATAACTATACTACTACAAAAGTATTTAAACCATTACTAAAAGTGCATTTATTGTAGAATATCTTTAATTCACTGAAATCAAATATTTTGTACCATTTACATTTTACTTACTTCTTTCAAATGTCTGTTTCTTAATTTCATTATCGGCAGTGTTATTTTGATCAATTTTAAGAACACTATTCTGTAAAGTATCGTTAGTCAATAATAAAATGGTATTTTCATTTACATTTTGCTTTATATTGACTGCTTGCATACATTTATTAAGGAATGTAAAATTTTGACCTTTATCGAGTTTCGTTTTTGATTTATTTTCCTGATCATTACAGGCTTTTAATTTATGCGGCACTATATTGATGCATTTATTTTGTACTATTATACCAGTTAAAGGCTGATTATGAATATATAAACGTTGTTTAGTTTGATGTAACAGCTTTTGACTTTTTTCGAGAACATCGCTTGGTGATGCAATCGCTTGATCTTTCGTTAAATCTGTTATTCCTGCTTGATAATTACTTGAAGTTTCATCTCCTTCTAATAAGCATTCGTCATTCTGATTTAATAAAATATCTCCAGTTTCTTCTACATTCTCTATATAGTCAACTTGTTGTTCAGTCACAGAGTTATTTAATATACCATCACCATAATTTTTACTAGTGTGATTCATTATTTCTACATGACTTTCTAATCGATTTTCTGAAAGTTCAACATTTTCTTGAAATTGTATATCGTCTTCGTATTTTATTTCAATGTACGACGACGGCTTACTTATGTTGCGATGAATTAATTCAGATTGATTAATATTATCATGACACACGATTTCATCTTTCTCATCTCGAATTACTTCTAATTTATTGTAAGAAATACTTTGTAATTGGGATAAATTTTCTTGCACTTCTGTATACTCTTCTGGTAAATTATTCTCGTTTCTATTACAAATTTTATTATCTATAGATATTTCAGTCTCTACAAGTTCAGTCTTTAATTGAGATTCCGGATAAACCTCATAAGTTTCAAAACAATCCTTAATAATCCGTATCGTATCGTTAGACTCCCAATTTTTATCGTCATCGGTACCTTCCTTTATAATATATTCGTCAGCTACGATACCCTGCAGTTGATTATTATTATCATTTTGATAATGCATAATCGTTTTTGCTGCAATTATGCTCTCGTCTGCTACATGTTCTTTGCTTACATCGTTTTTCTTTTTTCTGTTAGTTCGAACTTTCTGAAAATCTTCCTCGGAAAGATACAACAACTCTCCGGTGGTCGTTAAAACTTTTCCGTGTCGCGTCTTCAAATGACGTTTGTATGTGTTCCTTGTTTTAAACCTGAATGAAATAAGAGCATTTTTATTAATACAATGACATTTACATCTCTATATTTATAATATAAACATGTTTTAACATATTTCATTTACCGTTGTCCACAGTCATCGCATCCGAATGGCGCTTCTCCAGTATGCCTGCGTCGATGTTCTCGAAAATGCGATGGATGTCTAAACTTCTTTCCACAATCAGCACAAGTAAATCGTGTCTGATTTTGATGAATCAACATATGATATTTTAAGCTATGCCTTCTTGTGAAAACTGCTCTGCATATACGACATTCGTATGGTTTTATTCCAGCATGACTGCGGTAGTGAGATACTAATGTTGTAGGTGCCGTAAAACTCCGCGGTGGATTACAAATTCGACATTGAAGATTACTCCCTGTTGGATTCCCTTTTTTCTTAATACGATCCATGAAGGCAAGTGCCATTTCTCTTTCCTCTTTACTAGTGCCTATAAATTTTGCTTTTCCTTTAGGTTTAGTGGCTATAGTGTCGGCATTTTTATTGCAACTTTCGCTTAACCATGTCATTTCTAACAATAAACCAAAACACATATAAATACAACAGAACAAAAACATTTGAAATTGTGTAAAAGTACCACAGATATTTTGTATATTCACCTGGTAAATAAATGGTCTCTGACTCTTGACTAAATTTTTCTGACAATTTTTGATTAACATGAGAATATTCCTTCATATGAACAGTATCTGTGCCAACCACCATAAGAACAATCTACATAGAGGAAAATCACTTTTAGTATTTATATAATAATTCGTTGTACTTATATTTTACATTTATGCTTACATTCTCATCTGTTGTTGTATTCTCAAGAATACTGCTGAAGGATTCCGTTTCACTGCCATTGGGGATTTCTTCTTTCAAACGTTCAAAGTAACTGTGATCTCCAAGCACTTTAAACTCTGTTCTATCTATATCTTTTTGTTCAGAATTATGTAATTTTTTAGGTTTCTCTACTCTTTCGAAGCTTTTATTTTTATTTAGTTCTTTAAAACTAGAATCGTTTAGTAGAATATTTCGCAAGTAATTTGTGGGTTTTTCTACTATAACATTCTTATTTTCTTTATTCAAAGTCTCCTGGGGTTTTCTTGATTGCTGTAATCTACTTTTTTTGTTTAGCAAGCTTGTTTTATGATTCTTATAATTCACCGACTTTGCAGTAAAGGTCTTATCTACAAAACAACATCACACAATTTCATATGTAATATATTTGTATACATATTTTATATAAATATATATATGTATGGTTACTCACAGGCTTCCTTGTTTGTTTTTAAATACTCTAGGTGTTCCGCTAAATGTACTTTGATAGACATTCTTGCTCTTCCTTCACTCGCAAAACTAGTATATTTTTTACTACATCCATTAATAAGAGCACATGTATAAGAGTATTGCCTTTTCAATTCGTCGCTTGTAAAAATAGAGAACTGTTTAACTAATTGCGATGCAGGCATAGACAAAAGTTGCTGAACATTGAACAATGATTCCTGAGTCTTTCTTTTTGTACACTCTACTTTTGATTTGCATTGTGAAGCCAGCAATGATTTACTATGTTTCTTTTCTGAATGTAACGTTTGAGATGCAACTTCTGCAAGCATGTCTAACAAAGCAGCGGGACTATCATTTCTTATAATACCTGAAACAAACATAATCGCACAGTAATTACCAAAATTCATCTATAATCAATATTATTTTTCTATTATGCAGGACCAAATACTTTCTCAATTTTTAATAAGAACGAAGTGAAGGATTTTATTAAATAGAAAAATTGATAATAGATGACTAGAACATATGTAACTTATACATATATATGTATGTGATTTTTTAATAAATATTCCACTACATACAAAATTGCATGTAGTAAACAATTATATGTGTATTGTTATTATGATATAAAAATCCTGTAAGATTTCATTGACAATTTTTATCTTCTTATTTACAAGTACAAATCATCTTTATTTTATTCGTTGCATCAAGTAGTAACATGCTTGTAATAATAACAGAATATGTGATCTTTTGCTGACATCATGACATATGACAGTCAGTCGACGAAACATTAAAATTGTTAGTTTTACAAATACAATAAAGAGATTATTCATCTTTCAATACGTAGCAAAAATAAAGATACAAGTACGAAGATGAAAATTGTTCATTTGTCCTTAACATGAAATTGTTCTCGTCTTTAAATTTCTTATTTTTCAAGCGTCATTCTAGCAGACGCCATAAGTACGCCCAGCAGACGGTTTTTCAATTCATCTTTATTATCATCTTTAAAAATGTATATATTTTTCATAAATAGTAATGTATTTGGAAGGCAGACATTTTTGCCACTTAAAATAAATAAACAAATACCTCCATTATATGAATTAGAAGTGTATTCATAGTTTGTTTTGGTGTTCATTATGGCATTCGTATTCGCGGCGTGTCTTCATTCCACTGCTTTCTGTGCACAACAGGTTCGTTCTTGTTGCTTCCTAGTTTGTTCTTCTTGTCAATCCTGAGAACAGCATTGCCAACGCGCAAAACAAACATTTTCTCTTCAGTTTGTTGTACGTTTTAGCCAATTTTAACGTAATCTAACGTATATACAAACTTAAAATTTAAACTATTTAATTTGTATAAATTGTGAGTTTCTAATTTTCATTGTGTCTCTTGGTAATTGAGCAGTACGTATTTTATGGCGCGTCATTTGAAATTAATCAACATATTTTCAGTAAACTTAAACGATTAACTTTAATTTTTTTCTCTTTTATTTAAAAAAAAAGGAACAGATATTTAGGGGTTACTACAGCTATTGGATGATTTTTGATAAACAATTTTATTATTCAAAAGATAGCTATCAACTGTCATTTATTTATTTCATTTATACATACATACATATTACACAGTATTTTTTTTTGTCATTATTATCACTATCAGTGAATTTTAAAATACAAATAAAAATGCCCTGATACGAAAGAATAAATTATACATAAATATGTATATATACTAATTCACTGTCGATGCAAGAATAAAACTAACAATTTATCGAACAATCAATGTAATACATATTTCAGAATGGTGTACAAATTCTCTAATTGTTGATTCTTAATGTTTGATAACATTAAGTTGTAAGTTTGTAACTTTTTGGATATGACACTAATAGTTGTAATATAAAAATAATATACATACTAAATTCAACGTTTTTTGTCTTCGTTACGACTTTACAGAGTGTTTAGTGTTTGTCTGTCAATTTCGACATTAGTGTAGTTTATTATAACTACTTGCAGGTTCCTTTTTAAATCCATCGGTTTCAAATATGTCCTTAATAATATCTTGTTTTTTCTTGGTGTGAGTTGGTAAACCGTGAAACAAATTTTCTGTTATTTGCTTTCTACTTGTTGCATTATGTTTCTCGTAATCTTGATTTAAAAATTCAATATTCTCGTTATCATCGATAGCCTTCATCGTTGCCAACAACTGCTCTTTATTGTAATTAATCGGTTTTGTTCTGGCACTGGTTTCATTTGTACTATTAACATCAGCATTGCTAGGTACAACATGGATTGAATCAGTCTTAAGAGATTCCGAATTGTTCAATAAAACATCGGCACTTTTTAAGTCTTTATTTACTTCTTGCTTATTCAATTTATTTTTTGTTTCTACATTGTGATTGCCTGCAAATCTGTTATCATATACTGTTTCTGTTTCATTCTTGTACGTTACATTTGTTACTTGTCCTTTGTCCAAATAGCTTGACGTTTTTAATGAATTCTTCCTAGATGGTTTGCTTTGCAAATTGTTAAGAACTTCGTGTGCATCTAATAATGATTCTGTATTAATATTTGTCAGTTGTATCGTGTCAGAAGCTTTAAATGATGTCTCAAGTTGATTATACTCTTCTGTAGAAGATGTTTGTAAGAATGATTTATTTTGAAGTTCGTTTGTACTTGTATTTGCAGCGTTATCTTCTTGTTTGTTAGATTCGGATTGTTCAAGCATATATTTGTGTAAATCTTCCGAAGATTTATTTGCATTATTTATTAAATGAGTAACATTGCTTTGTTGTGTATGAGTATGATCTTCATCATACCGCAAATTATACAAATTTTCATTGTTTACGTTTTTGGTTGTTACTTGTGTTCCTTTAATTAAATTTTGATACGCTGTGTATGATTCATTTAACCCACGAGAAGGTGTCGATTGTTCCAATTCTTCATCAGAGTTATAACGTGTTTGATCATCGCATATAGATGAAATTAGTTTAAGAGCATCATTTTGATGGTTTAGTGACAAAAAATGCTTAATCGATTCCTGTCTTATTTCAGATTCAGTTTCCGAATCATCTTCATAAGAATTCTTTCTCTCAGGTTCCAAAACTTCCAATTTATCTCTGAATGTAGAATTAGAAAACGTTAATTCCTTCGAATCTGAAGTATCGTCCGCATTGTTAATTAATCTGAAATGCAATGAAACGTTATAATTGGAAAACAAATTTGGAATAAAAGTCGAAAATAATAAAGACAGTAATATTTTCAAACCTTCTGCATAGTTTTCTGGAATTATTAGCTATACTCGTATGATCATTTTGAAAACTTTCATCTTCACTTTCACCATCTTCAGACGAATAAACAACTTTTTTCTTTAACAAATCATGAAAACTATAGTTTCGATTTTCATATATTTTTCTAAAACTGTCTGCACTTATTTCATACTGATTTCCATCGGTCTCAACTTGTTTTTCGAGTCCTTCCGAACTATCCGAATGCATTGAAATTTTTGAATTTTTATCTAGTTTAAAACCTACTTCTTTAGATTTTTCTTCGGAATCATTCAATGGAACTTTTCGATGTGCTGATTTTTGGAGACGATACTTTCTTATTTGTTCTAAATTAGTCATCGTTTCTGTTTTCAAAGAATTTGTAGTTTGATTTAAATTTATCCTTTCATCTGTTCTTGTGCTTTTATCATTTGATTCGGATGTACAAAGTACAGGCTAAAAATGGTAAAATTAATAATAACTAAATTTATTCCTAGCAGAATTTTAAACACATAGAAATTAATTTAATAAGAACAACTTTTACCAAACTACTTTCTTCTACGTCTCTTTGCCATCTTCTACTTTGATCCGATAACTTCAATGGATTCGATGAGCTAAAATGTGTATTAATGCATGTAAAAAATATTATATGGAAAAAAGTTCAATACTGCATTTTTCACATACCTAATATCCCTTAAATTTGTGAGGGACTGTGTACCAAATTGTCTATTTTTATTAGGGTGTAATAGTTGACCGCTATAATATAATCTTCGTTCTTTATTATCTAGCAAGTGTTCTAAACTTTTCAATTTTTCTATCGTTTCGTCTAAGTGCTTTTGCGTTTCCTTTCGCTTGCAAACTTCTGTATATAATTGCTGCTTCAAACATTTACTTTCTAGAGCCAATTTTCTGTGCAGCGTCTAATGAGATATTAAAATATATAAAGGTTAAATAAAAAATAATATACGATAATATTAAATTTTTAATTCACCTGTATAGTGTCTTGCTGTTGTTGTATTCTGTAATTTAAATCAGAAACTTGTAGTTGTAACTTTTCTCTTTCTCCCAAATTACGATCTTTACTGAGTTGTAATAAATGTTTGTTTTGAGACTGTCAAAATAGTATACAAACATTGATTTCCTTTCATTTATTCATAACTAAAAGTATTACATACATTCGATATTCACCTGTAACTGTTGAAGTTCATTTTCTTTTTCTTTCAATAAATTGCACGTTTCTTTATGTAAAACTTTCAACTTTTTATACTTAATTTGAAGTACTCGTAATTCCTCGTGATGCGAGTTAATGATCCGTGGTAGCTCTGCATTTGTTCCTTCGTAACGTTTCAATGCAGAATCCTGTCGTTTTTGTAATGACTTTAATAGTCTGTTTTCATTAGCTAACTCCTGTAGAGAAAGATATAATTATATTCAGTATGCCTGCAATTAATGTATATTTTTAATTGATAAATGTATCTTCAATATATTTATATCTCATTTATAAAATACAGCAGTTAGAATAATTACATTTAACTGATAATGCGCATCAGCCAATTGATTTTGCAATTCTTTAATGCGTAACATTTTTGCTGACAGAACTCTTTGTTTTATACTATTTTTATTAAGTTTTGAGTGTTCCGATAGAGGCTTCTGTCGAATACTACTTTGGTAAAGTTGTCCTGTAAATAATAATTAAGAATAAAGTATAAATCGATAAATTCAATTATTATACAAACTGTAAAAATAGATAAACAATAATATTCATTTTAACTTAATTTCAATACAAACCAAGTAAAGGATGCAAGTTCTTTTTGTTGGATGATATGCATGCTATATTTTTATTCTGTGTACTAGCTTTCGTTTGCACTGTTGATCTTCTTAAGTTAGAATTTTGTTTCCTGCAAATTGTGTAGTAATGTATACTTATCCTTTATTAGTAGGAATGTTAGTACACAGTTTAAATGTATAATAATAATAAAAATATACAAAGATACTAATAATATATTATATGAAATAGATATGTCAATTAACATGTAAAGTGTTTAAACTGCACTCATTACCTATTGAGGTTTGTCTGGTCATTTAAGTGTACTATAGGTAACGTAGGCACTTCAGTTTGCATTTTGCATTTGTAAATACTGCATCACAATTATCATCTCAAGTCTGAATAACATATCTTTATAAGAATAAATTATTATAAGATTGTCAAAAACTTATTGAAGACCCATCAGCATCCATAGTTGTTGTTAAGTGGTTTCCAAGGTAACATCCTACACAACATTTCACTAATCAATGCTATTTAGAATTATACATATTTGAAATAATTCTTTAATCATTTCCTTTATTTTTATGATAAAAATATATATACAGAAATAGTAAAAAGTATACATTGAAAAATACGTCCAATCAAAAATATTTAAGGTAACTTGATTTCGTCTTAAAATCTCGGTAGGAGAGATATCTAGGATATGAATATGTAATAAGTAATAACAAAGAATAACAGTGTTCAGTTACTCTTTTATTTCGTTTTTACTATCATAACATAAGAATATTCTAAATTTATAGAAGCATTTTTTGTTCGATGTAGTATATACACGTTGGTAACATAAGAAGTTGAATCATCTTTTATCTACCATGTCATTCCGAATTTCCTTCTATATTTACAGATAATATAGTATACAAATTATATTATTCAAAAATAAATTAACGAAGAGTATCGTTTCTCTTTTTTTTTTTACAAACATGGATATTATACAATTTATTCATATATAAATAAACATGCGCACAGCACATGCATTCTTGTAATACAATCCTTGTAATATGAATATGAAACAATCCTAAATACACATATTTCTAATGACTCGTTTACTGTTGCATATTGTATTTATAATACATAATACTAGGAAAGATAGTTGGCTTCATTTTTTATGATAAACGTAACTGTTTTTATATTAAAATTAAGAAAAATTTAACCACGCGGTTAAAATTATAATTTTAAAATAGTCATTCTCGAATACATTTCGTGTCATTACGCTACGTAACGACAATCTTTACATAGATCTTGAACAGAGTTGTTTCCCTGACAAATCGGTT